GTCCAATCAGTATAATCAAACACAGCTGGACTCGTTGGAAATCGTTGGAGCAGTGTGTCTCCTGACACTCTGGCCAGGGAGCGGGGGAAGAAACAGATGGAAGGGAACGTGGCTCAGCGTTTTGGGTACATTATCATTGCATTCTCACCGTTCTGGCTGCCCATTGTGGTTCACTAATGAACATCATCTCCTGGCAGGACACGGACAGAGTGAGTGTAGCAGTTTTTTCTGTTCCCACAATATTTTGAACATTGTAATGCAGTACAGCAACAGACTTACTAATTTGTTAGGAGCCTTGTTTCTGCTCTCCACCAAAAGTGATGTTGAAAATATGAGAAACCTCTTTCAGAATATTTCAATCAAAACCACAACCACAGAACTGAGTCAACAACCAAAGTAAAAACAATACAACAGTCTCAAGAGAAGCTGAAATTTTTCCAGGACTGTTGCATTGCATCTGTTACTCTGGTCACTCAGCATAAAGCTCAGTTTCACCTGATCAATTAAGTATCAGAAATCTTGATTAAGTAAAAACTGGTTTATGTGTAATTTAAAGGACATATTCTGATCAAAGATGACTCCACGGTTCCTCACAGTACTACTGGAGGCAAGAGCTATGTCATCTAAAGTAACTATATGATTAGACAACAGATTTCTAAGGTTTTCAGGCCCAAGCACAATAACTTACTTTGGTTTTGTCAGAGTTTAGAAGTAAGAAGTTGCAGGTCATCCAGGCCTTTATGTCTTTAAGACATGTTTGAAGTTTGACCAGCTGATCTGATTCATTTGGCTTCATAGATAAATATAACTGAGTATCATCTGCATAGCAATGGAAATTTATGTTGTGCTTCCTGATAATATTGCCTAAAGGGAGCATGTATAAAGTGAAGAGAATTGGGCCTAACACAGAGCCCTGTGGAACGCCGTGACTAACTTCAGTTTGTGTGGAACATTCGTCATTAACATGAACAAATTGAAATCTTTCTGATAAATAAGATTTGAACCAACTTAGCGCAGTTCCTTTAATCCCAATAACATGTTCAAGTCTCTGTAGTAAGATGCTGTGATCAATGGTGTCAAAAGCAGCACTGAGATCTAAGAGGACAAGTATGGAGACAAGTCCTTTGTCCGAGGCTAGGAGAAGATCATTGGTGACTTTCACCAATGTGGTTTCTGTACTATGATGGACTCTAAATCCTGACTGAAAATCCTCAAACAAATCATTCTTGTGCAAGTGGTCACATAACTGCTTTGCAACAGCTTTTTCAAGGATTTTGGAAATAAATGGGCGATTGGATATTGGTCTATAATTAGCTAGGACACCTGGGTCAAAGGTAGGCTTTTTGAGTAGCGGTTTAATTACTGCAAGTTTAAAAGCCTGTGGAACATAACCTGTTAATAGAGAGAGGTTAATCAGATCTAGTATGGATGTGTTGATTAGGGGCAAGCCGTCTTTGAGCAGCCTGGTCGGGATGGGGTCCAGGAGACATGTTGATGATTTAGATGAAGCAATTGTTGAGGTCAACTCAGAGAGATCTATAGGGGAGAAGTAGTCCAAGTATAAATGAGGTCTTACAGATGTTTCTAAAGCCATTGTAGTAGATGGCACATCTGCGAGAGCTGTGGGAGTGGTCCGACCAATTTTTTCTCTAATAGTTGTGATTTTATTTGTAAAGAAGCTCACGAAGTCATTGCTGGATTTTATTTGTAAAGAAGCTCATGAAGTCATTGCTGCTGAGATCTAAGGGAATGTTAAGCTCAACAGCACTGTGGCTCTTTGTCAGCCTGGCTACAGTGCTGAAAAGAAACCTGGGGTTGTTCTTATTTTCCTCAATCAGTGATGAATAAAATGCGGTTCTGGCACTATGAAGGGCTTTCTTATATGTTATTAAACTATCTTTCCAGGCTATGAAAAACTCTTCTGACTTAGTGGAGCGCCACCTCCTTTCCATTTTTCGTGATGCCTGCTTTAGGGAGCGGAGCTGCGAGCTGTACCACGGGGCTAACCTCCTACATTAAGAGGACGAAAGCCAGGGTCTGTCTTTGGATAATGTCCATCTGGTAATGTGGCCTCATCTTAGATAGAATTTCTGAGTCTTTCCAAAAAGGTGTTTACATGCTCTGTGATCTGCACATCAGGGGGCTTGGGGACGAACATCATTTGGACCCTATATGCCGGTGCGGGGATCGTCCCTGACTGTGATCATGATCCACTATGTGTGGCTTTTCGAAGTTGTAAGGCAGCACTGAAAGAAGATTTTCAACTGAGGAGTCCAGCTGAGGCCGATGTGTCGGAGCCTGGGGCTGGCTGAGTGTCCCCACTTCAGCTCCATGGACAGCTCCAGAGGGCTCCTTCACATCTCTGCCCTCTGTTGGCTCCGGCAGCGTGCCGCCTTCACGCCAGATGGTGCTTTTGGTGGCCAAGTCTGGTGGTCCCTGTGTGGGTGCATCTACAAGAGGTGGTCTGGGAAGATCCTTGGAAATCGTTGGAGCAGTGTGTCTCTTGACACTCTGGCCAGGGAGCGGGGGAAGAAACAGATGGAGTGGAACGTGGCTCAGCGTTTTGGGTACATTATCATTGCATTCTCACCGTTCTGGCTGCCCATTGTGGTTCACTAATGAACATCATCTCCTGGCAGGACACGGACAGAGTGAGTGTAGCAGTTTTTTCTGTTCCCACAATATTTTGAACATTGTAATGCAGTACAGCAACAGACTTACTAATTTGTTAGGAGCCTTGTTTCTGCTCTCCACCAAAAGTGATGTTGAAAATATGAGAAACCTCTTTCAGAATATTTCAATCAAAACCACAACCACAGAACTGAGTCAACAACCAAAGTAAAAACAATACAACAGTCTCAAGAGAAGCTGAAATTTTTCCAGGACTGTTGCATTGCATCTGTTACTCCGGTCACTCAGTTTCAGCTGATCAGTTAAGTATCAGAAATCTTGATTAAGTAAAAACTGAAAAAGATTTGTCATGTTTCTCAATTTTGTCATTTTAATTTGAATCTATTTGGATTTAGAAATTGGTTCAAGAAAACAATATGAAGATGTCACCTTTTTTTTTTTTTAACTGTTCTCTGACAATTTAGACTAATCAAAAAGTAATTTAATCATCAATGAACTGCCGTCCTACCTCATTCTGTAGCTTCTGGGTGAAGAACTTCGGAATGGTATTGTCACTTTGCACCATTCCAAGCTCTCTCCTGTTTCCCACAGTTGCCGGTGGAGCTGGATGCATCAGTTGTTGTGCCGACGTGTGTGCGGGCTGCGACGGATCCCCTCATCTGCTCTTTAGTCACCAGACGGTTTCGCTCTGAACTCCACAAGATCCTCTCCTCCTCCTTTCCCAGGATGTCCACTAAAACTGAGAGGTTCTGTGTTCTTAATAAACATTTGGGTCACATGGACTACACCTTTGTGAACTGAAAATGCCAAATACTGTTAAATTAAAACAAACACAAGCCACTAACTTGCGTTTACACACACACAGTAATTTAGAGGCAGGTGAAGAAGAGAGCCCACAGATTTTGTATTTGTGGCAGATACAGATGCTTTATCGGGCGTTTCACAGTCGGGACACAAGACAAGGTCATAAATAATATCCAACACCTGACAAGATACGCACAGCAGTAATCTCAACAACAACAGGTGGCATAGGAGGGCAAAGCAAAGAGTGAGAGGAAAAGTGACTGAGCCCAGAAAAAAGACCATCAAAGAATACATAGAAAAGAGAGACAAACACAATCACAGACCTGTGTTTTTCTTGTTGGTAAAAAGGAACAACAAAAAAAAAGCAATCCTTTGACACTTTGAGTGGAAATATGCTTACACGATGATTCAAACTGTGCGAGTTTGAAAGTGCAGCTGAGACAAAAAGACCTGTTTTGAAGGCATGAAGTAAATCACATTTAATCACTGTCCTAGCAACAAAAAACATCTGCCATCACCTATGTTGTTGTTGTTTTCTATAAATTAGAAATGTTGGACTTGATGCTGTGAATATGACATCAGTGTCTTTAACGCCACTTTAGCAATTACAGTGAAAAAGCTCTGCCTGTTTGTTCTTTTTTTTTTTATTTACTCCAGGTAATTTGCGCAGTTTCACTAAATATAAATACTAAGATCTTGGCGGCTGTTGTCACCGTGTGCTGTACTAAATTACCAGCAGTAGTACTAGCTCACTATTAGGAATATGAGGAACACCCACCCTGTTCCAAGTTTTGCCTTTCTTTGGGTTGTACTAACTTTGAGATCAGGGAGAACTAATGCACAACAGAGGAGTCAGAGGGACCTTAGGGTATCGTGCAGTGATGTTAAATGTTATATATTTCCACCTATATGAGCTGATATGATGATATGCGTTGATTGTAAGTCTTAGTAAAAATGCATGTGTAAAAAGCTTTCAGATGTCTTCATCTTTAGGTAATTAAAAATTTTACTTAGAAAAAAAACATTTTGCTGCTAGTTTGGCAGTTGTTTTAAATATAGTCTTCTTCTTGGGGGGGGTATTGCTTTTGAAATATGCTCTTGGCTGATATGGAGAGTATACTGATATATTTGTGCATCTCTAGCCCTGTGTGTGCTCTTTATCATTGTTTTGCTTCATCTATGTGGCTAAGAAGTGGATACTTAGTCTGCTGTGACATTCAAGATGAAAAAAGCCAACAGAGGCATCAGCTAGGCGGTTATCGGAGCTAAAAGGTCACCGTCCATAGTTACAAAGGTCAGGTTTGATAGGATTTGATGATAAGTAACACTAAAGTTACACAGCAGGTCTGTGAGCTGAAAGAAGACAGAATTAGTGACAGATCCATGGAGGGCTTGTCCAGTGTCCTCCGATTCTCTGTGGTCACCATTACAACAGACATACCTGCTTTACCTTCTCCAGAAGATAAAGTAAATAAAATCCTTTGAAACACCAAGGAGGACATAAAGTACAAACACCAAGTTTCCTAACCACGTAGAGTACACATACTCGATGTTGAAAAATGCCCGCTGAGTTTGGGGAAGAAAAAATGTTGACAGCTATAAAGACTACTGAAAGCATACTGTTGTTCACACAGGAGGTAGGGATACAACAGGACGACAACAAGAGAGAGAGAGAGAGAGAGAGAGAGAGAGAAATGCAGAAGGAGGACAGTGAGGAAGAGAGAAAGGCAGAGTGAGGGAGAGAGGACGAGAGGACAGCTTCACTGGTTCTGCCAAACAATGGTCAAATATTACAAAATATTCTATTAACAATATTCACAAAGAACCTGGGCTCAGGACAAATTCAGGTCAGAAATTCTCAGCAAATGCCTTGTGCTTTTAATTCTAGTGGTCTGAATTGAAAACGTACTTTTTTTGGTTTATGTTAGAGAATTGAATTCTTTGAGGTCCGTTGGGCTGAAGGAGCGAAAAAGGAAAAGAACGGGGAATCAAAAAGCTATAAAGACAAATCTTTTTTTCTCTCCAGTAAAACAGGCACATATTGTGTAAAAGGCTTGCAGCTGAGAATTTCGGATAGAAATATGTGCAATGAACCCTTCAGAGTGGCAGCTAGTCAAATATACCATATTCGGAGCAACAGAGACTTCCAGAAGAAAGTAAAGTTTTCAATCAGCTGACACAAACACATTCGCACCCACACACACACCTCACATCCAAAACGTCACAAAGCCTCTATGTTGTAAGAAGTCATATACGCTCAAATATGAACCTCATTGGTAATGCCGTCACGGACACACCTATAATATTTCACCTTTTAAACAATTTTCACTCAAGTCAAATAATATTGGACGTGAAAAAGAACAGTGGCGCTAAGAGTGAAAGCGGACCAAAATGACACAAAACAAAAGGGTAAGGTTAAATCAATGGGGAAAGTTTTGATTATCTGTTTTTTTTCCCCTTTCCCTTTGTGTATTTTTTCCTTTTCCCTTATATCTCCTGCTAAAAAAGATCAGAAGAGTCAAACTGAAGTGAAAATCATAAGAAGGTGGACGGTGACGCATGACTTACCCTGCAAACTAGTCTCTGATGCACAGGCACACTCTCACTCGCCCCCTCATCTGAAATGACTCCCTACACATATTCCACACTTTTTCACCCACACACACTCTCATACGTGCATGCATGCATGCCATCCGACCACTAACATGAAGATGCTGTATGTAAAAGCCATCCTGTCTGTGCAGGGAGCCCATGTCATTACAGTATATGACCAGCAGAGGGCAAGCTCCACCACAGCCAGACTAGGATTTCTCCATCATTACCAGTCCTCTGTCCCTCAGTCTGTCTTGATAAGTCTTTATCTGTCTTTCTGTGTGACATGCCTGCACTCTAGTCTTCACAGTGCGGACACCTTCACAATGTTCTGTTGGGTGGGGCCTGCGGACAGATGAGCATCGCCTTCAAGAGTCGTCACCGGGGGTGTGGGAATGCTGATGATTGCTGTGGTGATCTGGCTGCTCTGGCAGTTCAAGGGTGCTGCCTCGTCCACGCGCATGTTCAGACTGGAGCGGCTATAATAAAGGACAAAAGGCAATCAAGGATTAGGATAGTCCTGGATAATCTATCCTTAGGGAGATGGTTTTGCGACTGACGGTTTGTGCCCCAGACCAGTTCCGTTTGAGGAAAAGCGAATGTTTCCTTTGATGTGGCTTTAACCAACACAATTAATCCCATTCACCCCTTTAAAAATGAACAAACCCTAGAAAATTCTTTTTAAAATTCATTCACCATTGGTGCAAGTGAGTTAACATGACCCATCAAAAATCCCCAACCTTTTGTCAGTTTTTAAAGCTCTATTATATTTACATAACCAAAAAAGCGGATGACCCAGTTTAATAATAATAGGACGCTACAAGTGCCAAGCCCACTGCTGTCTCTGTCCTGTGTGAAAGGTGCTTCAGGTGGAAACAGAGACAAAAGGAGACAGGTACAGTTTTAATTGTGTTCCTAGTTCAGCACTGAAAGCAGAGTTGCAGCAACACCAGTGTGACAAAGTCAACATTCTGACCAAGAGACTCTGTATAAGGTCAACAGGATGCTAACAGTGTCAAACCCCATCTCTGTAGGTTCACATGCTGTAGTTTGCAGCTCCTCCTGAAATGTTTTGCAGCCCATTCTAGCAAACAACAGAGTCAAAGTAAACAGTGGATAGAGCGCCTCTCAAATTGAATATGTTTTTATCTCAGGAGCTGTGGACCGTACCAAAAGTACAGAGTGCATAAATATATACCATACATTTGTCAGGTGATGAGAAAAATTACTCCTATGAGGTGCTCATGTTGCTCTGTCTTCTGGTTGTGTAGGCAGATTCACAAATGACTACAATAAGTTCATTTAATGTTGTAGGGACAGTAAATTAGCCAGCAGCCATTTGCATTGCATTGGTAAATGCCCAGTCCTTTGGGAATCCTGATCTTACCTGGTGCTGAGGGGCTGGATATGAATGGTGCTGAGCTCCTGCAAACCTCGTTGGTGTGTGTGCGTATGTGTCAAAGGCTGTATGTGTGCTGGGGCACTGGCATTCGGTAAAGGGGTGTGGTGCTTCTTGCTTCGGCGGGTGCAGCATGTGCCCGTCACACCATCTTGGCTGGAGAGAGAGGGGCTTCGAGATGGGTAATTCTGCAGCCCTGCCTCCAGATAGCTCTGCTGGTAATACTGCTCATCCACAAACTTGTGGTTCTGTGAACAAAGACAAAAAGAACAAAAGAGAGAGAGAATCATAAAATCATTTGACAAAACTTAAGACATTTGTATTCATGACTTCGTAATGAATCTGGCTTGATATCACCTGTCATTTTCTGCTTCATAGCCTGGGTCAATACCTCCTCTGAGAATGAGTGATTATTTTCTATGTGTGTGTGTGTGTTGTGTGTGTATGCACACACTGGAAACACGTTTCAGGGCTTAGCTCAATCAATTCTCCATAGTCTCAGTTCCTTAAAGTGGCTATAATCAACACTTTTATATTAATGATGGATGATATGACTACTTGTATGCTTGCTTCATAGCATTTTTCAGCTCGCTGTTTTGATTTGGTCCACTCTCACTTCTCCAGTTACTGCTATTATCAGTCAAAGCAGGCAGTTATTTTCAGCAACATGCTCAAAAAACACTGTACTTTAACTGTCCAGCTCCAAACAGCAGACAGACATAGTTAGAGACTAGCTGGTGAACATTGTGAAGCATTTAGCAGCTAAAAGGCCAGATATTTCTTTCATGCAGTGGTAGAAAGCAAAATGGAGCTTAAAAAAAAAAGACTGATGAATCTCCTTAAACTCTAGTTGGGTGGAAACAAACAGCACTTCTGATGAATTACTGTTGCTCCTCTGTAAATAGGCAAGTGTTTGCTGAAATATTCATCGGTGCTCTGTTTAGAGTTCATTTCAGCTGCTCTTAAATGTTCAAAATCTGTTATTACAGTTCATATTGTTTTCAGAAGCAAAGTCAGATTCTTTCATTTGCCATGCTTTGAGTTATGCCATACAGATAGGCAGACAAACAGATCGCGCTTCTGTATCACACACACAGGCAGATGAGCCTGTCATACGGGAACTGCAGTGTACTGGACATCACGCTACAGTGGGCGGCAGTTGCACAAATACTGTAGCTCCGTACACGTTATTCCTGGCTGTCGGTTACTTTCATCTAATGAGTCACAGCACAGTTAAGAGAATGCATGGGTGACTGCACAAATTATGCTGAAATGAAGTAAATATTTTAAAACATGTACAACTGAAATTAATGAGTGACTGCAGGAAACACAAACACTCACAGTGGTTTTCTCCAGACAGTGCAGTAGGTGGTGGTGCTGGCTCTCCAACAGAGAGGTAGACTTGCTTAACCGCTGCTCTTCTTCAGTGGAACTCTATCACACACACACACACACACACACACACACACACACACACACACACACATACACACACAAATTCAGGCACAGGAAATGAGTACTATGCTACATTTTTTTTCTTTTAGGAAGACACTAATCAGATATGGAAGGTGTGCGGCTGGCTGCTGTCTCAGTACCTGATCTGAAAGGTTCATCTTGTATGGAAGTTGCTTCAGTTGGAGAAGGAGACAAAAGGAGAACAGACAGGTAGAGTTTTACTAGTGATCGTAGCTCGGCACTGAGAGCAGAAGACAGCCCTCATAGCCACATTCGAGCCAGTCAGACACGGGGAACATTTCTGAGCCGAGCCAGCGCATTTACCAGCGCTGGATGGGAGCCGTGTAGCACAGCTTGCTCCTAATGCATATACAGTATATACAATTCATATAAAAATTTCCACTGTGACATTTTGCCTCTGTTGCAGTCACTGCTACAGGAGACTTAATGACTTGTTTTCCATATTCCTTATTCTTTATGCTGCACGTGGCCTGTTTACATGTTTATTTGTGTGTATGTGTATCTGTGTGTACACGTGTGTGTTATTTCTAATTATCTGGCGGTTTGGATATGTAACTCATTTCTGGGCAGTGCCGAGGTGACTCAGAAAATAAGTGAATTTTGGACTGCTGGCGAGCCTTGTCAACCATCTAAGACCATAAAGAAACCAGCAAAAATAACTAATTTGATTGTTAATAGTTCATTTGTTTATATTTTTCATTCCATATGTTTATATAGTTTTTAGAAATATTCATCTGAATATTTGCAAAGATGATTTGAAATATAATACCTTTGTATATCTGACAGAAGGTTTTAGATATGTTAGTACCCAGAAAGTATAGAGTGACTAAACTAGCCTTAACTTGAGCCTGGGAAGATGTCTCATCAGTACATTGCAGAATCAAAAACATCCCTGTTTTTGAGAGAAGCACTGTAATGTTTCACATATACAGACTTTCACTGTGTTGCATCAGTATATCCCAGCAGAATCTGTGGTTGAGCTGTTTATTTGAAAGAAAAAAAAAGGATGCAAGAAAATACTGCTGTGATCTTGCATGCTTCACAACACCGCCAAAAGGCAAGTAAAATGCCATGTTTGGATTATCTGTAGCAGAAATGTTCTGTTTGCTAAGTTGGCAGCTGGTGTTGTATGCAGAAGCCTCTTTGCTGAGAGGGTACATTCCTGCACTGATGACTCTGCTTGTCCTAGCCAAGACCGCTCACCTGTGTACAGGCTACTTATCTGTACCCAACACAGCAGTAAAACACAGGTGTTTAGGCTCACTTATTTATGCCTTCCTCTATACATGCGACTGCAAGCACATACAGTAGCAGCAGTCTGTTTGGAGGCGGCTCACCACCCAGGTGGCCACCATACTGCAGAGAGTGGAAACAGCTTGATCTGCCAAACGACAAAACACAGTGTTGCTCTATGCTGTATACTGTATGTTGTTAGTAAATAGCTGCCTTAAAATTATACTTAAGATGCACAACAATGAACATTTTATTGAGCTGCCACATACCTTCATGAGCTGCTGACTCTGGACATAGTCTGTAGTGTCTAACACGTGAACTACTGCTTTTGTGAAAAACCAATAAAATGGGATGCCCAGTATGGAAAAAGTAAAACCTTCTCAGATAATTGTGATACTGATTCAGTGCTATGTTTACTAATGAAGAAATACATGCACTGTTCAATAATGTAATAATGTTTGCCAATTCAAATTTTATTGTTTAACTTTATCTTAATGAAGCAGTGTGCACTCCACAATAAACAGAAGCAAAAAATCTTTAAATGCTATGCAAAACTATTAACAATACATAGGGTGTCTTCTTTTTTTCTGTGTTATAAATAACCAAAAAGCAAAGAGAAGTGTCCTTGTGTATACTGAAAAACTTTTTGCTAACTCCTGACAATGTCAAGAATCTCTAAACAGTGATCTTAGAAAACACTGAATGCAGCTACCTTTTTTACCAGTATTTACTATCCAGGCAAACTTTCCTTGTGATGCTTAAAATCGAATCACAAGCACAGTAAAATAATCTACATACATATAATGCATATAAAACAACACTACAGTGTTTGCATTATGTTTAAGGCAATATGTATATGAATTTGATGCGTTATTCAGCCACCACTTGAGTGTACAGAAGGTACTATTGTCATTCTAATTCCGTCCTCCCCACTGCAATTGAAGAAAGAGTG